TTCTTCTTGGGAAGGGGCAGCGTCGTAATGGGGACTGTATCAAATCCTACTTAGGCAGTACAATACGTAGGGACCCAGGCGCCGCGTTCCTCAGCTTAATCGTTATCTCGGGGTTGCTAGTTGCATCGTGCAACCAATACTGTTGGTTTTCTATACACCTCATCGTCGCATTAGAGCTTTCCATCATATTGGCAACGACAACACTTGAAATACTAGCTCCGAAGGATGACGCCGGAGAGAATGGTCATCGAATCTGACGAAATGAATCTAACAATAAGTGTGAAAGTGGATTGTCACTGTGGGATTAGCGGGAGCCCCCCGTTAACTAACACTACTCGGAAGTGCCATTTTGACTGATCTGGAGTGATCTCTTTAAAGAACTTAATCCTCATCCTACGAACTTGAATCGTCGCGAAACTGGCCATCCGGCCATAGCGAGATCGATCCGGTGCGACTGATGAGCGTGGCACGCGTGCACAAGCACGCATGCGCAACGAAAGGGAGTCGCTCTACAATGGATCTGGCTAGCATGGTGTAATCTGCTGTAATCGACTGTTCTTCACTCTACAGTCATAAAATATGTGGCATGAGTCAATGCTAAAAATATTCTATGGCTTGCCTAGTGGATCTCGACAAGAATCGATTCTGAACCCTACATTTCTTGTCTAGAGGGAAATGGCATCACGAATAATGCCACGAAAGAAGTAGTTGATCTGAGAGATACATTTGGATCGGATCATGTGGTGCAGCAGGCAGCGGCGTGTGGATTATCTATCCTTATGGTAGAACATACTGGGGGCCTTGCCCCAATACGGACTTATGGTGTTTCTCTTATCCGCTCCCGTACCATAATAATACACTAGAGGTTTTTTGAAGTCTTCAATAGTAACCGGAGTATGTGCACATGCCTTGACGTGGAACTCGAGGTCAGTCTTGTCATAACCGATAGCAATGTTGTACTTGGACTTGGTCTCAGTGGGAGTAGGTGTAGAGAACGTCATCCCCTTGACATCAAGGTAGCAAGCGTCGACTGTAGCCCTGATATTGAAGGTCTGCTTCTGAGCATTGAATATGAGGTGCCCATGTACACTTGGGACGCTGCTGACGTATACCCCATCAGGCAAAGGAATAGCCTTCAACGGAGGGGTCTCGATGGCGACCACGAAATTTACGCAGAACGATGCAAGGAGGATGGAAGCGAACTGCACCATAGTGGGGGAGGACAATGGAGTGGACTGGAAACTGAGAAGGGTATCTGACGTTTGACCTAGAAGCCAAACGTGGGTGGAACTTCCACCGTGGAAGTGTTAGATAGAGAAGCCATTGATTAGAAGTGATAACATGGGATGGAGCCGTCACGTGTGCAGCTTATAAAGGGTAGTACGTTTGGGAAAAACAGACAAAGCCTTTGTCACAAAGGGTACTGATGTCTATCTCAAGTTCGTCAATTACCGGGAAAGTGCTGAGGGCGCGGACCACAACTGTATATATAGTTATTCCATCACGGAAAGAGAT